TAAATATCTCCACTGTTTTGCACTGTACTTTGCTCTCGTCTCTAGTGAAGACAATCCAGGTGGTCATGCACTTCAGCAGCCACTTAAATTGGCGTCTCTTAATTATTAACAACACTTCAAACAACTGGGTTAATAATACCAGTTCTACAAAATGATTTTTGAAAATTTCTTCCAAGATCCAAACAATATTCTTACTATTGATTTCCACAAAGGGTCGCAGGAAAAGTGTATCCCCAGTAAAATGCAAACAGTACAAGTATCTACAGTACTGATCATTCCAGGGGCTGGGCAGCACACCAATATAGGTTTATTAAAAACAAAGGTCTGGTCTGTGTGGAGTGGTTTTGTGGTTTACCAGACGTCTACTCTGCACGCTGTATCATTTAGCTGTACGTAGAAGAGGCAGCTGGTGGGGTTATTGAAAACATAGCAAAGATATAGAGGACAGTTGCTGGAAGGGCCAAGCTAAAGTAATAATTAAAGGCTGTTGAGTGAAGGGGTCATTTTAGAACTAATCTGACAAAACACTGCATAGGTTACACTGGAAAAAACAAGAATTTAGAAGATGATCTTATTGGCTGAAGAGACTGGAACAAATTTAAAAAAAAAAGGGGGAAAAAAACCCTGCTGATCCAATGTGTTGGAAATATAGATAAGATTAATGGGAAAAAAGTCAGATATAGTTCATGTGCAGGAACTTAGATCAGCTACCCTCCCCCATGGATTATCATTTTCCCCCAGCTTGTAAAGCCTGCATCAGGTTGGCCAACAGCCCTATGCCAGGGGCTTTGGCCAATACTGAGGATTAAAAATCCTCCAAGGCTATAAATACACCTAGCAGACTAACGTCAGCAGCCTGCCAGCTATTGCACTTACCTCGTATGGCTGAATAGATGGCCATGTGTTTTCCCTCTTTTCTGCCTTTTATTTTCAATCTATCTCGTCACTTCTGAGAGGGCTTGTTTCCTTTGTGCTTCCATTTTCCTCCCCAACATCCACTTGCGTCTCAGTCTTCTGAGACTTAGCTACCCCCCAACCTCTCTACTCCCAATCTTTTACTTTATCCCATTCATGCTCTTGCACTTGGTAGTGCCTCCTAATTGGAAACAAGCTGTGAGAGGGCTTTCAGTCTGAGGTTAAAATTGCATATGATCTGCCTCCTGCTGAATCTCCCAGCAATCTCTCTCCTTTTTTCTTCCAGCAGCATAATTGGCTTGTGCACAGAGGCAAAGTAAAAATATACAAACAAGTACACGGAGATGAGGGAAGGAAATTGTTGACTAGCCCTTCGCAAGAGATGCTGGCAGAGATGTAAACAGGTAGATCAGGGTCTTAATAGGTTTGCACAAATCATATTGAACTTTGTACTTCAACTGCTGGTAACTTAATTGCAATGAATAGCAAAGAATAAAATAATTCCCAGATCACTTAAAGCAGTGTGGGGAGCACTGTGTGGTATCTTTATGTGGTAACAGCCAGTCAATCTATGATGCATTGAAGTCTTGATTGAAAACTGACATGGATTTGACATGGTAATTATTGTGAGGGCTTACATTGACTCTATCATAACTTCCTTTTTTTGCACTGTGAGAGGATAAGAGGGATTAGTTGCACAAAAGACCACAGCCAGGCACAGAAACAATTACTTCCACCCAGTTAGATGCCAGACTGCACTGTCGGGCCCAAAGGGCCGTATAACAGGCCGCAGCAACTCTGTTACAACCCAAAACCTTCACAGAGAAAAATAAATGAATAAAATGGTGGGAAAGAAACATGATACAGATTTAGGTTGTTCTACATGTGATCTCCGCTTAAAGTAAGACTAGGACACAGGAACTCTGATCTAAATCTGTTCAAATATAGCATTACACTAAAATTTGTTTTTTTTTCTTACAAGTGCCAAATGTTTAATGACTAATTTAGAGAAAAATGTGTCATACCTAAGTTTAGCATAACAGCACAATATCAAATATAAACACTCCAAACTGGTGTTTATTATTGAAGCAAAAGTAGGATGTCAAACCCTAAATTATTAATAAAGTAAGATGGAAATACACTAAATGAGAATCCGTCAGTGGTCGCCTCAAATGCAACGATTTATTTTTTCAACACGCAGCAAGTGGAGTGGAGATTCGGACCAGTTTTAACAATGCTGGCATGTTTTTAGAAAACAATCATACGTCAGTGGCCTTCTATATTCCAACTCAAAATAACGGTCTCATGTTTGATTATGTCAAAAACATAATAAAGTATCGTCGACCACATTGTTGCAGTCACGCACGACAAACACTACAAAGAAAATTATCAGGAAAGAGTTGGTGGGCTGGGATGTGTGTGATGCAGAAAAGGTGAGACAAAGCTCTTTGCAGGTTCAAGTCGGGGAAAAAAAAAACTAGTTGGGAACCTGTTTTTTTAGTTCTACACATTTATTCAATTACTTGATTAATAAAGTAGTATTGGATACTATGGGATACTCTCCAAAAGTATCCCATTAATAAAAACGGGCAACAGCTGCAGCTCTAGCTATGACGTAAGATTCCCTGCCTGACTTCAACTTCAAATCCATACGTTTGCATCGGCCATTTCTTGTAACGCTAGATGCAGAACTGCGGTTCATTCAAGTTGCTGTTAAATAATCAATGACACCGTACGTCATGTGGTCTGGACAATCTGAGGTAGAGGTCACCCGACAAGAGAACCACCAGTTCCAACATTGGTATCAAAGGTCCAAAGAATGTAAGTCGATATAAGCAAAGCTTGGCAATATCCAATAGTCGCATTTGCAGAGTTTGGGCATTCAGAAAACATGAACACATGACACTGTCAAAACAGAGTTCAGATGGAGCAGTTTGAAGAGATGGCAAATAGGTTTTTACTTTAAAGTCAGGATTCAGTACACTGCTGGTGTGTTTGTCAAAATGCCATTTATACACTTTAAAGTTTAAACATCGAGCATACTCATGGCGATCAGTCTGTGTGAATTTTGTCATTTTAAAGATGAAGCACTGGCAGAAAGAAAGCATAATATAAACAACTTAATACATTTCAAAGATGTAACATCGCATTGGGAATCAAAGTGAAACACAGCCAGTGTGCCTTCTGGAAGGCACACTGAGTAAGAAGCACTTACTCTGGCTAAACAATGCAATTAAGCTGGATTGTCACACATTAGAAATTCGTATCTTAATTGCTCCCCGATGCTTCTTAATAAAATGAATTATCATCTGAGTTATAGATAATATTTCTACATAACATCCTTATCTGGTCACTCAGCAGGAGCAATTAGTCCTCACGCACTGATACACAGATGAGATACTTTATGTTTTATAAGCACAGAAACCATTGGTAGGGACAAAGTAATGAAAATTAAAAATAAATAAATAAATCTTGGTATTTGTTGCTCTCCCCTTCTGTGTCTACCCATTTCCTGTCTGAACACTGCAATTAAAGGGCACTGGTATCAAGCAAAACATAAAAATACAGCATAAAGTCAAAAGACAATTCATTACAAGTTGGGATCAAACAGGACACTGGTCAGAGCCAGTGCATTCCTGCCTAATGCGATTGGGCTTCTCTGGGAAATGATTGAGCAAACAGAAGCCAGAGTGGCTTCCCCTCACTGGCACCAGAGCTTTGTCACCGCTAATCCAGTCCAAAGATCTCCAATCAAACACCACCAGTAAAAACATGGCACAGCCCTGGCCGACAAAAACTGAAATCCCACTGTCCAAAGCCGGATCACAGAGTTTGTTCATCAGATTTGAGCTCAGAAAATGACCTGGCTGACACCGGGAAATGACTACAGAGCTGCATTTCTGTTTTATGGACCATTCTCTTAATAAAGACAACAATCCTGCAAACTCATAGGATTATATTGGTCTAAAAAAGCTAATTTAAAGCAGTCACTTGTGCATTACCAGAACAGGCAAGTAACAAATTAGTAAAAACTCAATAAAATCTCTAACAATAGAATATTTGTACAGGAAATGACAAAGATAATGGGGATGCCAGGATACGGAGGACACAGAAGCAGACTTATCAATGGCTGAGTAAACAGATGGACACGTTGACTGTATGACTGTAATACTGCAGTGCCTCTGGCTGACATTAACTTTTCTCATCAGTGCCTCACAGGCCTGCATTAAAGGTCCATAAATGAGTAAATGATGTCAGCAAATATTGGAGAACTGAATAAACAACAAACCCTTGTGGCAGGACAGTATCTTTAGGACATTTCTAGTCCGTGTTATATTTCTTATAAGAAAAAACTAAAAGACAGTCTCAAGCAATCTAAATTATACAGAAAAATAATTATGGGCACATTAATAAACCACATATGTTTGCTATTTTTTTAGCTTATACTTTTAAGGACTTTAGTTCATTTACAATATTAGTTATTGCAAAGAAATTAAGTCAAACCAGGGGTGGGAATTTATAGTACTGTTTATTATGAAGACTTTTGATTCATTTATCATTTTTGATCAGTTTATCATCAAGATAAATGTCACTTATTGATGACATATTGACAAAAAACTGGCAGTGCCATTGGAAATTTTATTTTTGCTATTTTTTCCACAGTTTATTTCATGAAGGCATCAATAAATATTAGTAAATTTGGCAACATGATTAAATCCAGTTAGTGTGTGCAGCTTACCGATATAAATCATACTTTCTTTAAATAAGTGGTGTCTTGATTAAGGCCATTTCAAATAGGAAAGTTTTCCAACAATATTTGTGTCTGTGGTGCTATGAATGCTGTGCCGTGACAGGCACACAGTTAACTGGAAAAAACATAGTAATAAATGTATTTTTAAAAATCACATACTGTATCATTACTACAACAGTACCACAAAGTATTGAGACAAAATTCTAAGTCCATATTGTCCGCCCCAAGTCAAACCCCTTCATGAACAGCAAGCTAACTATTTCTAGACCAAATGAGATAGTAAGAGGAGGTGAATAAAAATCATCTGAAAACTTAATGACAGAAAAGTACTCACTTGTCGTACTCTGCGTTGTCCTTATCACAGCGTGCATCCTTGTGCTTCTGCCAGTCCTTCCCATGCTTACAGGTGGTGAGGAGGACCACGTCCTGCGAGTTATGCACATGGTACAAAGCATTCCTTGTGTCTGACCCTATTCCAGTCAGGTATCTCTTGCCCTTAAAAACAAGCACATACTTCCTGTAAGGGGGGATCGTATTATGCCTCAAATAGCCCCTCTCTCCACCTGTCCTGGGGTGTTCCTTCGAAAACAGGGGGATAGAAACATCAAATTCAGGCCTGAAGTTTTCTGTGCTTATGCTGGCTTTGGCCAGCATTGCAAAGCCAATGTCAAAGCCGAGATCTTCTGTGTAATCTGGCCATGTGCCGGAATATAAATTGAAGATTATGTGGTTTTTGCCCTCGTTCCAGAGAGGAAGGCTTTGGATTTTCGCCTTCAGGTTGTGCACATACTGAGGTGAAAGCTGGTCCCGATCCAGAGTGTCCAAGCTCAGGACAAACAGGCAGGCCAGTGCTGGGTCTGGCGTGTAGAGCCTGGAGCCCTCGATGGAGGTCAGAATGTTTTGGTAGCTCTCCGAGATCTTTTCTCCTTTCTGCTGCGGATACACGTAAACCTTAAATCCGTTCCTCTCACACAGAGAGAAATCAAAGCAGGACTCCATTCTGCATCGTTTTCCAGTGTACAGGAATGAGTTGGTGTCCCTCTTTTGCCTAGGAGATATGTGTTCGCCGAGGTCATCGCTCCGATCCTCCTCAAAGGTGCTGAAAGACTGTAGGTGTCCCTGGAGGCGCCGCCACCGCGCCCCGGGGTGATAACCGGCCAGGCTGCGGTCATCACGCCGGCCGGGACCCCGACCGGACAGCGGGACTTGTGTGCCCCCGAAACACAACAACAGAATGAGACAAGCGCCGGCGGAGAACAGGATTAAGTATCGTTTTTTGGCCTGCATGTGTCCGGCGATCAGAAATAAGGTGCGACTCTGCGAATCCGACAAGTTGCGAAGTTTGGGTCTCACCACCTCCTGTGGGAGCGCTCCGCCATCTTCCCCCGGGCTGCAAGGGCTGCGAGCTTTCGTCTCCCTCCTCCCGCTTCAGTTGCCTTTCACAAGTCCGGGAGCTGATCCAACGCATGTGGGCGATTTTTAATGTCCATCCACCTCGTCTTCCTCGTCGGTCGTGATGCTGCTGATGAAATGACAACAGCTCTCCCGAGGGACTAAAATCTGGACATCCTAAGTCGCGCTTTACTTTTCTTTGTGTAACGCCACCTTCGCGGAGCCTCAAGGGTTATTTTGCCACGAGCTACAGTTTCTGTCTTATCCGGATATTAACTGACAATATGAAATACGAGAACATATTGAGTTAAAGCAGCATTGTGAGCTAGACTTGTTGCCCAGACAGTTAACTATTGTCTTAAGGTTTCACTGGAGATTATAAACCAAACTAGTACAGGAGCTTTAAAACATTTAAAATACCGCAGGAGATATTACGCCGGTTTGTTCATATGGTGCCTCTAAAGCTGGTTCCAGCATTACAACAGATAAACCGAGACAATACATTTCTAAAGCCGACGTTCGCTAGCTTGTTAGCAAGCTATCTACACTAGCTTGTCTGTGAAAACAGTTCTAGTTAGCTTGTTAGCTCGGCATCAGAGATCTCTACCGCTGGCTGGAAGAAAAGGCAGCAAAACCAAAATCTGTCTCCTTCCGCAATAAAAACAACCTCTTTCCTCGGACGGGAAACGTGTCTTCTGCCTCGACGCCGGTAAATTAGCATCTACTTCAATTTTTCCAGTCATGTAAAGTGCTCAAGTGGCGACTCATACACTCACAAACAGTCGTGCGGCGAACAAGACGAGCCAAGCAGCTCGCCACGGCTGGGCCGTCCCACTACTGTGACCACCAGTGGCCATTAGATGACGTTCCTCCACGGCGCACGGTGCCTTCCCATTGGCCGCCGTCACATCCCCAGGCGGGCGGGGCTTCCACCACACGCCTTCACTTTCAAACAGGTAAGTGGGTACCTGTACGCAAGAGTTAAATTATTTCAGCAGTTTTGATCCAAAATGAAAATATTTATTACTATTTAATTACACAGAGAACGATATATTTCACGTGTTTTCTATTTCTGTTCATTTTGATAGTAGATTTAGTAGAGAAAGTGTATGTGTATTGCTTACCTAATCAAGGGGAAGATTTTATGATTTGAATGCCCATCTGCAGGCATGGCCACACTCCTCATGGAGGCTAGGTGCTATTTAAACGCGTAATAAATGTTTGTCCAATTTATTGAGCTCTAGCTGTACATCTGCACTAAAGTCGTGTGACAAAATGTTGGTACTTTCAATATGATGAGACGTTTAGCTGTTAACATGTGTTAAATGAAGAGTGTCATCAAAGTAAGGTGAGCACAGTTATTGTTATTTCTTTTGTCCATTTGAATGAAATCTCTTTGTTATTTATAGGTGGTCTTCACTTATAAATCGGGTGACTTATGAGGGTATTCCTAATATTTTTGTGTATCTTGTAAAAATATTTGTGGAAAAAAAAAACATTTTCTATGATGGACTAGCTTTTTTTGCTGCATTGTCATCATTATCATTTAACTGATGGCTCAACTCAAATGTCTCAATTATTTCTGAAACCCAGACATTCTCCCCTGCATTCCTTTGCATCTGAGATTTTTCCACTGTACATGGAGGATCCTTATGCTTTCGTTCATCCTCCCAAAGCATCCTTCAAAACACACTTCATTTGAATGTCAAGTCTGAATATTTGCTTGTATGTGAAAATAACAATAAAAATCCAGCATGATAGTCCAGCCCTGCTGATATGAATTGGCTGGTTCTTTACTGGGAGGTCCACCCAGACCCTGACGTTGTTTCTCGACTGCTGTGGTCTGATGTCCCAAGTGGTTTAGTGGAAGCTTGTAAAGAGCACCTGCATTCTTTGTGAGCTGCACGTTAACCATCCAGGCTCCTTTGGTAATCCACGGCCCCACTGATGAAAGAGTGTGAGGTAAGTGATGGTCACCTCTGCGGCCTACTGCCTTCTTCTTTGTTGGTTTGTCCTCTCTCCATCTCTCAATCCACGCAAGCTTTCCACCACCCCTTCGTCTGTTCTTCGTCGTCTTACCCCTGCGTCTCCCCCTTTCATCCCCTCTGTTTGATAACTGAATAAATGAATACTCCTCACGTCCCGTTATGTAGATGAATGTTGCTTTTGTTCTGAGCTCTTTCATTGACGGAATCAGAAAATTATTTTTGGATGCGGTAACTAGATTAAAAAGAAAATAATAAAAAATAGATGAATGAGGACAAATGAGGAAAAAAAAACAACAACTGACAGTCAACTAGATACCAGATGAATACAAATGGGTAAAAACCGTGGAGATTTGTTTTGTCCGACCGTCATCTGCTGCCTAATGAGACTGTGGAGATGCAGTTCCCCTGCTGATGCATTGTTTTTGCGGTGATGAGCTCTGGCCAGATTCAGAACAGTGGGGGGTGGGACTGAGCCAGAGCAGCGCTCCCACTGTGTAACACTTTGCCACGATGCCAATATCTAATTTGAAGGCACCCGGGTCAGAGCAGTGTTTACCGGTGACACCCGAAGGTGACATGCCAAGCTAAGCAGCTGAATTGAAATTTATTTTCCCCTTCTAATGCTTTCGGAGTTCACTATTTGCAGGCTGGTTATTAACATTCCAGCCCCATGCGAGATGGCACAGACACACACACACACACACACACACACACACAACACACACACACACACACATCTACACACATGCGCACGCATACACATCCTACTGTGTAAAAAGCAATACACATGTGTGCTCCCTCTTTCATGTTGAGCACAGCCTTGGATGCGATAATTTAAGGTCCCCCCCTCAACTCTCAGAGGAAGCCTTGGAGAGGAGCAATATCCATCTGTGTTGACACTAACATGCATAAATCACTTCTGAGCATGTCAAGATGAAAAGTGAAATGAAGGCTGCATGTGGCAAATATCTGTGTCTCGAAGCTGCATGACTATTCTGGAAATATTCTGCACGTCCATGTCATTTTCATCACACGGGGAGGGGAAAAAAATGTGTTTATTAATCTAAGATTCTGTAACAGGGAAAGGAATATTACAAAAAAATAAGTAAATAAATACCTTTTCACAAGGAGAATTTTTAAGGCTTTAGGGTATTGGTTCATTTGGAGGCGTTCTTGTTCATAGTCTGATTTATAATAACAAATTCCAGGAAACACAAACAGTACCTTGAAACAGTATTTATACCTCTTGAATTTATGCAGCTCAGCATGTTTCAAAATTCATAAGCTCGATCGCACCTGTGATGTGTTTTTCAAAATCTGTTGCGTTACAACCACACACTGCGTTTCGTCAGCAGTGCTTGTCAGTGAAGTGAAGGGGAAACGTGGTTTCCATCATTTTCTCCAAATAATTTAAAAAGTGTGCCTTACATTTGTATGGAGCACCCCTGACTCCGGGTAAGTAGACGCATCATATGTTGCACGTATTGGCAGGCATTCCTTCACATACTGAATTTTTTAAACTAATTTTTATTTGAAAATGTCTTAACCTCAGTCAGTGAACAATCATTTTCAAGCTGCCATGGGAGAAAAGTGCTCCATGATTGTATTTTCAGAGGAAGATTTCAAGAACGACTCAGGCAAGAGTTTGGGCCAGGTGCTATTCTGTGATGTAGATGTATGTAGGAATCTCTACAAATCAGTAAAACAGAGTAGCATGCCTTAGTAGATGTGTGTGTGGTTTTGTGCGTGTGTGTGTGTGCAGGTAAAATACTCACTACCTTTGTGTGCACGATAATGTATGCATGAGTGTGTTGGAACATCTCAATCACAGAGCAGAGATCAGGTTCAATTACATGTGCAACAACTTTTAGGTCTCCGTAGGCCCAGAAACCATTTATATGCTAATAAGTGTGACAGCAGTAATGACTTGCAATAAAAAGACATCTGCTGCTTGATCGAATCCGATATTAAAGCATTACCACAATCAGCCTCTGCTGTTTGTCTTGAAATCACTTGTTAGCCCCGTAACTCTGTGTGGGAAGTGTCTTGACATCTGGCAGAGGTGGGGTGAAAACCTGTCTACTGCTTTTCTCGCTTCTCTTTGCAGGCTTTGCAGGGCTTGATTTATGTTTAGATTGCCTGAAGAGAAACTAAACGTAGGCGCACGCTCCTTTATGGTGGAAGTGGAGTGTATTTTATTTATGGGGATGTAAAACAGCTGTAATGTTCTCCAAAGATCCTAAAAAGTTGAACTTGTTCGCCCTGACCTCATTATTCATGTCAAAAAACAATGCAGTGAATAACCATTTGAGATTTATTCTTCTCTTTTTTTTTTCTTCTTTTATTTGTAACAACTGAAGGTGTCAGATCGAACAAATAGAAGGCAGTTTTCATTTATCAGAAGGAAAAAAAAAACAACAAACAACCGACTTATGTGTGAAAATATTATTACATGTATGAATTAACTGCGATTGGGAACATTGTTTTGGTCAAGTTTCACCGCCCACATCCAGATTCCATTACTACTTGATCAAGAGATCACTAAAAATGAACCTTCCTGACAGCATGAAGTTTCATAAAGTAGAATAAAAATGACCTGAGATGGAACACATTAGGCACCGATCTAAAGAAATTCAGCAGAAGATGAGAAACAGAGTCACTGGGAACCATTACAAAGCCATTTCCAATGCTTTGAGACTCCAGTGAACCACAGTGAGAGAGGCATTATCCACAAATGGAGAAAACATGAAACAGTGGCGAATCTTCCCAGGAGTGGTTGATCTAGGAAAATGACTCCATCAGATGACAACAACTCACTCAGATGACAGAAGAACCCAGAATAGCATCCGAAGCACAGCAGATCTTACTCGCCTCAGTTAACCCCGAAAACGGCATTCATAGGGAGTACAAAGGTCAACTAAAAAAAAAAAACGAAAAAAAAAAACAGAGCGCAGACATCCATTTCACATTCACCAAAAATATTTTCAAGATTGCCACGGCTTTGGGGAAACAATTTGTGGACTGGTGAAACCAAAGTGTAACTTTTAGGACGTTTTGTGTCCTGTTACATTTGGGTTACGCTAACAGACAGTCAAACATATTATTATTGATGAGTGGTGGTCTGGAGCAACTTTTTTTCTCTTCATAACATTGAAGACTTATTGTTACTGATTGATCTATGAATAGTCCTCTCTATCAAAAAATTCTGAAGTACGATATCTGACCCTGAGTTTGTGACCTTAAGCTCTTGCACATTTGCTTTATGCAGCAGGACAATGACAAAAATATAGTTTCATTTGAAGGCTGCATTTTGTATTTTCTCAGGATATCTTTATTTAATGTTGAAATTACATTGATGATCTGAAACATTTAAGTGAGTCAAAAAAATAAAAGCAACACAATCCACTTTTTTACAACACAGTACATAAACATCTGCAGTATCTGCACAGGTGATTCTTTTCTGGAAATCATAAGCATTAACCCGAAGAAGACTATAATTTGTTTAGTCACATAAGCGTCATCGACTCGCAAACATCCACACCAGACGCTTATATCCAATAGCTAACAGTGTAATACCTGCTGACATGGAGAGGCAGGGCGCGCATCCTGTTTTATTCCATGAAGAGCCCCCCTGTGAGCAGCTGTCGCTTCAAGGGCCCGAAAGAGATCAATGAGGGAGAAAAGCAGTGGGACCGGAGTACAAATTGAACAGCCTTTAATCACCTCACACAGTTCACAGCGGTGTGAAAGTTCTAACCATGAAAAGGTTTAATTACAAGTCAAGCCAAATAGAGTCAACTCGGTGGTAATAAATGGCCCAGAGTGAC